TGGTGACGGTGAGACAAAGAAAGGAGGAGACCCTTCGGGACTTCTTGGAACGCTGAAGGACGGAGGCAGATAAAGTTGACGACGCTGACGATGGGACCCGCCTGGCCCTCCTTCAAACAGTCCTCTGCCCCGGGAACTTTTCAAGGAGCCTCATCATCGAACCTCCCCGTGATAACATAAGGGCCGTACAGCAGGGAGACCGGTACGCCGAGGCCGAGGAGGTGGAAAAATGTCATCACAACCCCGATCACCAACACCCTCGGCCAGAAGACAAAGGCAAGCGGGGTCCGGGGGCTCCCCCAAATCAATACAAAGGCTCGGCACCCCCCGGTGATCGCCCCCAGCATGGCCAAGCCAAGCACGAGGGAGGTTACAAGGGAAACCCGAAGGCTTGGGCACAACCCATTCTCCTGGAACACTCTCGGACACCCCTGACGCACCCCGTCAGTGTCATCCTGGACTTCGCCGAAGAGAGGGGCCTAGTGGAGCGCGACTCTCGCGCATCCCTAGAGGTGTATGCCGTTAACCCCAATGAACCGTACTATCTGTTCCATCGCAACCAAGGGCTCAGGACCGACGACTGCCATCAGCTGAAGGCGGCCATTGAGAGGTTGATACAGGCAGGCCACCTGTCTCAATTCATCAGGGGCCCTCCTCCTCAAGGGACCCCTCACTACCATGGGCCCTCCAAGAAAGTAAACGCCTGGGTTAACCCAAACACCATTCCCCTCGGCGACCTGAAGGGTAAGAAAAGGGAAATCGGGAATCTCGATGAAGAGGAGGAGTACAACCAGTACCAGGAGAAGAAGCGTCACATCCACATGATCACCGGAGGCCATACGGGGGGGGGGGGGGACTCCACCAGTCAAAGGAAGAAGTGGGCACAGTCGCTTTACGTGGGGGAAGTCACTCACATGCCCCCCGTAAAGAGGCTGAGGGAGGAGCCCATCACATTCACCAACGCCGATCTCCCCCCAGCTTCCTCTCCTCACAGGGATGCGTTAATGATCCAAAGTGAGATCAATGACACCATAATCCACAGAACTTACATTGATACAGGTAGCTCCGTCAACGTAATGTACCTCAACACTTTCAAGGAGCTACACCTTGAGAGGGAGTCCCTTCGGCCCATCAAGACCCCTCTTTCCGGCTTCAAAGGAGACACCATTGATTCCGAGGGGGTCATAACCCTCCCGGTACTCTTCGGCGACGGGCTCCATAGCGCCAAGCTCGAAGTGGAGTTCGTCGTCGTCAACATTGAATGCGCCCACAACATCATCCTCGGCTGGCATGCCCTTGAGGATCTGGAAGCCATCATCTCCATGAGGCACCTGTGTCTCAAATTCCCGGCCGAAGAAGGCATCGGGTACTCAAGGGGGAACCAAAAACTAGCCCGCGCCTGCTACCTTCAAATCACGAAAAAGGTTAGTAAAACCGAGTTCCGGGTAGACACCATCACCGGAACTGCGGAGGAAGAAGAGAAGAGGCCGAGGGTAGAGCCAGCCGAGGAGGTAGAAGACTTTGCACTCGATCCGGCCAAGCCAGAGAGAGTCGTGAAGATTGGAGCCAAGCTCCCCGAAGACCTGAAGACCGGCGTAACTGAAGCCCTCTGCGCCTACTCCTTTTTTTTTGCATGGGGGCCGGAGGATATGCCGGGGATCCACCGAAGGGTCATCACTCACCGCCTGACGGTAGACCCTTCGATAAACCAGTGCAGCAGAGAAGAAGGCCCTCTCGGCCGAGAGAAGGGACTTTGTCAAAAAGGAGGTCTTCATGCTCCTCTCCATCAAACACATCAAGGAGGTGAAATATCCTTCGTGGTTGGCTAATGTGGTACTAGCATAGAAGCCACCCACCTTCCACATGTGTGTGGACTACACTGACTTGAATAAGGTGTGTCCAATGGACCCTTTCCCTCTACCAAACATTGATCAGCTGGTAGATGAAACCGCGGGATGCGAAATCATGTCGTTCCTCGACGTCATCTGCGGGTACCATCAAATCTATATGCATGAAGATGATGCCGAAAAAACAGCCTTCATGACACCCTGAAGGCATCTTTTGCTATCTTGTGATGGCCTTCGGCCTCAAGAATTCAGGCGCCACCTACACCCGTATGGTGGCCAGAGTCTTTCAAGCAGTCTTAAGACGCACCATGGAGGCCTATGTTGACGATATGGTCGTCAAGAGTAAGAAATCAAACACCCACGCCGAGGACCTCCGGGAGATATTCGCCATCATGCAGAAATTCAACCTTCGGTTGAATCCAAAGAAGTGTACCTTCGGCGTACAAGGAGGGAATTTTCTTGGCTACATGGTTAGCCGAAGGGGTATTGAGGCCAACATTGAAAAAATTCAAGCCATCATCAACATGGAGCCTCCACGCAACGTGAAGGAGGTTCAGAGATTGACGAGTCGCCTAGCGGCCCTCAACCGTTTTCTCTCCAAATCAGCAGAAAAGGCCCTCCCCTTCTTCCAAATCATGAGGAAAACAACATGCTTCCAATGGACAACTGAATGTCAAGGGGCCTTCGACGAGCTAAAAAAGTACCTCTCTTCTCCTCCTGTGCTCTCCAAGCCCAAAGTAGGAGAGACCTTATATCTATACCTTGGCGTCAGCCCCGCAGCCATCAGCTCAGTACTCATCCGGGAGGAAGATGGCATCCAACATGCCATCTTCTATGTTAGCAAGACCCTCATGGAGGCAAAACTCAGGTACTCCCCTGTGGAAAAACGGTCCTAGCCATTGTTTGGGCTGCCAAGAAGCTTGGCCACTACTTTCAAGCTCATCCGGTCCAAGTGCTCACACATCAACCCCTCGGCGCCCTAATGAGGAGCCCCACCAGCTGCTCCAGAATGGTAAAATGGGCTATCTTCCTCAGCCAGTACAACATAGACATCCGTCCGAGGCCTGCCATCAAGGGCCAAGCCCTGACAGACTTCGTCACAGAATGCACCGCGAGATCAGCGGTGAATGAGGAGCCTTTGGCCCCTCAAGACGAGTGGTGGACCCTCTATACCGACGGCCCCTCGACCACCAAAGCGTGCGGAGGGGGAGTAGTTCTCATAACACCCGAAAGCTTCCGCGCCTATTATGCCATCCTCTTCTCCTTCAAAGTGTCCAACAACGAAGCCGAATATGAGGCCCTCCTCTGTGGCCTTCGGCTGGCAGCAAATATGAAGACTAGAATGATACACGCCAAGTGTGAATCCAAGCTTGTCGTGGGCCAAATCTCCGAGTAATCTTTTTCCCAAATAATCTTTTTCTCCGAGTAAACTAAATACTACACATGATTTAACTAAGAAAATTAAGGAGAAGAAAAAAATACTATGGAGGATTAGGTGAAACTCTTTGCTTATAGTAAATTTCGAGGACGATTTTTTTTTAGAGGGAAAGAATTGTAACATTCTCAAATTTATGCTTTTTAAAATTCTAAAAGTAAGCATAAAAAGTTATGTCTTCTTATTCCTGTAGATGACTGAAATATTAATAACGTAGTAGTAGTATAAAAAAAACAGTTAAAATTGCTTACAGTAAAAGAAAAACATAATTATTAAGAACAAAGCAAGAGGCCCACTCGATTTTCAGCTGGGTTTATTTTATTTGGGATCTACCTTTTGAACCTTTGTAACTTAATTTTTACTCTCTTTTTGGTTTAACCACCTTAGCTTCTCTCGATTGTAATACTTTATGAACATTTCATTTCAATAAAAAGGTCAATCGGTTTGCTTAAAAAAAACAAAATAACATAGACATAAGTTGAATAACACGTGTACATCCATGCATGCTATAAGGGACACTAAGCTATAGATTGCCTAATCAAACAAAAAAATAATAATAGGGACACTTTTGAGTAGCATTGGATACTTCATACTCGTACTACTAGTATTTGAAAAGAACAAACGGAAATTGTAATATATATACACGGTACATCTAATTAGTATGAGAAGAGACAAATACTGCTTATGGGGTCTTCTGGGAAGGCACGAATCGGAAAATAGAGAAGGATAGGTAGAGAAGAGGCAGTGAATCTTGAGGGGGAAAAAGAGAGGAGAGGAGGAAATGGAAGGAAATGGGGGAATAATCAGGTTACAAGTTTAAGGTTTGTGTTCATTCCTTCTCCTAAATCTTAATAATATCTTATTTTTATATATTAAAATTGTATTGCTTTATATTAGTGTTGCGTATCTTCTTCAATTATGTTGTTTAATGAAAAAATTCCACTTTTGGTCCCATGACTATTACGCCAATTCCACATTAATCCCCTGAGTTTCAATTTAACCAAATGTAGTCCTTGACCTTTTCCACGTAACCACCCGTGGTCCTTCCGGCCACAATTCCGGCTAAATGTTACTGGAGACCATTTAATGAAGGGTAGTTGGGGGCATTTTAGTAAATTTAGATTACAAAAACGGCTACCTAATAAACTACTCAATTAAGTTAACTTAATTGTGAGCTAATACCGTCGTCTCCCTCTACCTCAAAAACCGAACTCTCTTCTCCCTCTGAAGAAAGCTTCCGGCAGCTCGACAAATCTCCAAAACCGTTCGAACAATGAGGACCCGTCTCGACCTCCGGCGTCAAGGAGAAGGAACAAGCTCTGAACGGCGTTCTCGAACAAATGCTGCTGATAAAGGTAAGTGGGTCAACTTTTTAACAAGAGTGGAAGAAAATAAATAATACTCGTATAAGGCTGAACTGAGGTTTATATATACGGTGGTTGCAGTGTTTGCACATGCTAGGGGTTTGATGTTGAGGTTCCCCTTTCCCTTTTTCCCTTTATTCCAAAACAAGGTAGGGTAGGCATGTGTTTTTTGGCTTAGATTCCCCTACCCGGTTGTCTTTTACCATTTAACACATGGGACCAGTTCACATGTATCTTCACGCAAGCTTAGACCCATACATGCTTTTTTTTTTGAACTAATAATTATGAAATTCATTTATGGTGTTGTGTTGACCATTTAAACACACTATTGACCTCATTTATAAAACAGCTACAGCCAACTGTGGAAACACTTTTACTTTGAGGTTGTTTTATGGAGGAAAAGTAAATCACATGGAAAAACCTGCATACTTGGGAGGGTCAATCCATAATTTTCATGATGTAGAGGTTGATGAGTTCGGTTTGATTGAGTTGAATGAGAAATTACAAGAACTTGGTTGCACCAAAAAGGTAATGACTGTGTATTCCTATTCACATGAGAATGAGTCCCTAAAGCAACTAAATAATGAGGCAGAGGTTTGGGGGATTGTGAATGGTGGAAATGTTGGTAAGGTGGTGGAGTTTTGGATAGAATTAGAACCCAGTGGTGACACTGAAGATGATGATGACCCTGAGGATAGTGACTTCAGTGAGAAGGACTTAGAACACTTTTCTGGGGATGAGGATGACTCTGATTTGGAAGACTTCATTTATAAGGAGGATGTTGTGTTGTCTACTCATGGAGGGTTAAACAGCAGTAGTGAAGGAGAAGAAAATGTTACTGAAGCTTCAATGGTGGACCCGGATCCTAACTTGTCTGATGATGCTTCCATACATGAATCTGACAGTGACTCTGAGAAGTGGACTACATTCTGTGCCAAGACTGATATGAAAGAGCCTACCTTTAAACTGGGTTTGACATTTGGCACCAAACAGGAATTCAAAGAAGCTGTGGAAAATCATGCATTTAAGAATGGTAAAGAGGTGAGGTTTGTCAAAAATGATAAGGAACGGGTTGTTGTGGAGTGCAAGCATATAGGCTGCCCATGGAAGATGAATCTAAGAAAGGTAATGAACTCTCATTCTTGGAGGATTTTAAAGTACCATGACACACATGAAGGTTGCTCTTGGGTCTATCACAACAAAATGGTGAACTCTAGCAAGGTAGCAAATAGGTGGTTCAAGGAGATTGAGGGTCACTCAAATTGGAAAACCAAAGAGTTTAGACAGAAAGTATGTACTGAAGAACGATTCCATTTGAGTCTCAGGCAAGCTTATAGAGCAATAAGTAAGGCCAAGAGAAAACTGAGAGGTGAAGAAGAAGATTACTTCAAGAAGATATGGTCATATGTGGCTGAAATAAGAAGGACCAATCCTGGGAGCACATGTGTTGTCAAATTGAGTGAAAATGTAGAAGTGGATGGACAACAAAGATTTCAGAGGATGTATATGTGTTGGGAAGCCTGCAGGGAAGGATTTAAACAGTGTAGACCAGTGCTTGGGGTTGATGGGACCCATCTGAAAACAGCTACAGGGGACCAACTTTTAGTTGCAATTGGAATTGATGCAAATAATAGCATATTTCCACTAGCTTATGCTATTGTTGAGGGTGAAAGTAGGGAATCCTGGGCTTGGTTCTTGAACCTTGTGAAGAGGGATGCTGAAATCACAGAAGGAAATGAGCATGTTTTCACTTTAATGTCAGACAAGCAGAAAGGGCTAATTCAGGCTGTGAATGAATTGCTACCCGGTGTTGAGCATAGATTTTGTGTGAGGCATCTACATGGCAACATGAAGGCTGCAGGTTTTACTGGGAAAGCCATAAAAGATTGTCTTTGGGAATGTAGCAAGGCATGCACTCTTAACTCTTATAAAGCTGCCCTATCCAAATTCAAGGAAATTGATGGCCAAGCGTTTGAGTGGGTGCCAGATAAGCACCCCAGATAAGCAACTAAGGAGGAAATCTGCAGTAGATCTGAGCACAGATGGTGTCCGAGTTGCAAGAACACATATTAAATTGCATTGTTCAAAGTGCAAGAAGGCTGGTCACAATGCTAGGAGATGTTCGGATGATCTTAACAACAAGGAAAAGCTGGTATAGTCTGCATCTAATTTTTGTAAGCTTATTTTATTATTATAGTATATTGTGTATAATGTGTGCATTAACTACTATGTGTTTACATGTAATCAGCTGCAACCTAGAAAAAGAAATAGGAAACCAAAGAGCAAGCACAGTGTTGGAGTGCATGATATAGATGAGGAGCCTAGGGATGAGGGGTTTGCTACAAAGGACACCCTATTTGATGACCTCAACCTTATTGACATTACCATGCAGTCTGCTGAAGGAGCAAATTTTGCAACTGAGGTTCCTATTGTTGTGAGTATAGAGGACACTGCTATGTTCACTCAAGAAACACAGATCAGTCAAGACTCAGAAGATAGCAAAGAAGAAACCTTAGAAGGGAGCAAACAAGAAGAGAGCCCCAAAGGAGAGAGTGAAGAGGTTTCAGAAGAAGAGACTGTTGGGACATACCAGAGGACAAAAGAAGGGGTTAGGATATGCTATGGACCACCCCCTTGTCAAAAGAAGAGCAGTTCAAATGTAGTCAAACGACCTAAAGTGAATCCGAGACCCAAACTGAGCATTAAAAGGGGCCCAACATATGGTACTAGATCAAAAACAACTTTCAAATCAGTCTTCTATGGAAATGATGATGACCCCATTGATATACAGTAATGGGTGGACTAAAATGTGTATTCATGGTGCTACTTTGATGATGTAATGTAGTACATTTTTTGCTTTTTGGAACTGATGCAACTTTGATGATGCTACTGTATTGGTATAGCTTCTATGTTTTTGAGATACTTTGGCTATTCATGATCTCAGTGTGATCATGTAATGTATGGATTAGCATTTTGGTTTTCAATGATATCATGTATTTGGATGATCTGATGTAATGTATGTATGGATTAGCATTTTGGTTTTCAATGATGTCAGGTTTATGGATGATCTCATGTAAGTTCAAACAATGGTAGTGATGTATTAACAGGTTGTCAAGTTTGTCAAGTTTGTCAAGGTTGTCAGTTAGCATACATATGTGTTAAGCACATTTTAAACTTATCAGTTAGCATACATATGTTATCAGTTAGCATACATCATGATCATATAACTTTCATTTCATACGAAATCATGATAATCAACAGCTTTTAAAAAGCTTTTACAAGTACAACATCACACACCTCACTACATTACATTATTTGCCTTTCAACCACACTGAAACAATAATAACCACAACACACATAAAGCACACTACTGTAATGCAGTTACTACGTTTTGTCTTCTTCTTCTGTGCTTTGAACCAGTTTGTCTCCAATGTTTCAACCTTCAATTCCAATGAATGGATTTTTTCTTCATAGCCATTCAGTTTTTTCAGTAATCCTGGGATTATTTTTTGAGACCTTTTGCACATCGGAGGGTCAAACCACTCCATCAAACCACAACCTTCAAATCTCTGCAAGAACATATATATTTTCCAATTCAGCCAACGAATATAGAATTTCAAAATATTTCATATATTACAACTATATATAACCTGACTTCCAATGCATTTCCAAAATCTTCTCCCACAGTTCTCTGGTTTCCAAGTTGTCAACATCTTCATTCGTTGCCCACATTCACAATACTTCACCGGAATCCACTCTCCATATTCATATTGGCCCGTACAGTTTGAACTACCTGATTTTGAGCTAGACATGGCGACGGAGAAGCTATGGTGAGATGCTTGTCTGCACCCACTCAAACCAGTCAAACCAATGCGACGGAGTAGCTATGGCGAGGGAGGTATAGCGAGGGAGAAGCTATGGTTAGAGAGTCTGCGTTTATGGCCTTTAAACGTTGGAGTTAGGTTTCAAACCAATAAATGCTATTAAATGACGCAACTACCCTTCATTAAATGGTCTCCGGTAACATTTAGCCGGAATTGTGGCCGGAAGGACCACGGATGGTTACGTGGAAAAGGTCAAGGACTACATTTGGTTAAATTGAAACTCAGGGGATTAATGTGGAAGTGGCGTAATAGTCATGGGACCAAAAGTGGAATTTTTTCGTTGTTTAATTATACTATCATGTTTAGGTATGTTATTTAATTATTGCGTTAAGCTTATTCTGATGTTGATATAATATATTCTTCATTTGAAGAAGATATTATGATTATAATCATTAGTTGTGTATATTTAGATGTAAATTAGCCCTTTAAGACAGAAATATAAAGTTTTGATTAAATTCTCACATAATAGTTCGAAATGTTTAATTTAAGTTTTGTGAAAAGCTAATTTCATATTTTGTGTTCTTATTTGTCAAACTAGATTTGATCACTTATAATAGCAAAAATAAGTAAATGATAATATGCTAAATTCGAATTAATAAAATATAATGGATTAGATACTAATCAGAGCTAACTAGTGGCCGGTTAATATGTGAAGTACGATAAACTTGAAAAAAAATAAAATAAAATGAATGACATCGAAATTTAAAGTTACACACTTCGTATATATGAATAAATTAAAAATGTAAAGATTGATGTGTGATTCTTAGTAAGTTTAAATTCAACAACACAAATGGTACCTATATGGATTGGAATTATATTAAAATAATTATTACTCTGAATATAATCAGTTGTACCTTTAGCCAATTGGAATGATATTAGAAATTGTACTCTTAAAATGAAAAGTACTCTTATAATAATTATATAAACTTATGAGAAATATTACTAATAAGAATTTAAATGAACAAAAACAAATGGAATTTGAAACCTTGTTTCTGGATTTGGATAGGTTGGCATGCCAATAGGGATAATTAACACGGCCGTAGAATTGATCAATGATTTCGGGTCCGTAGCCACCGAGTGGACAATACCCAAATCTTGATATTTGATATACGCGCGCTCCTATACGGGTCCGTAGCCACCGAGTGGACAGTACCCAAATATGTTCGTTTACGGGTCTGTAGCCACCGAGTGGACAGTACCCAAACGAACCCGATCCTTGCAGAGCCACCGAGTGGTCCGTGCCAAAATAGTTCTCTGATGGTCCGTAGCCACCGAGTGGACAGTACCAGATGAGGAATGTCTCGTTTATCCAATCCATTAAACTGAGTAGAATTCCAGAAATTTGATAAAAGAATAACAATGTGAAAACGGACAAATATGACGGAGATTGACATTGAGCAAAAGATGAAGATTGAGAAAATGAAATTTAAGGCAAGACAAGAAGAATGCCGAATGAAATATTGATTTACAGTGATCTATGATATTGCTCATGTGAACTTGGATTATGATATGAAGATGTGAAAATGAAGGCAGAGAAAATGAAAAGGGAAAATGTGGAAAATAGAATTATGAAAATGAAGTAAGAGATATGAATATAAAAATGAAGACGATATGAAAATGTGAGTTCAATTAATGGATTGGATTTTACTAATTAAAAGTTTATTCTAGAATAAGTTAATGATTAAATACGAGAGACAACGAAATAAACTAATGTTGAATAAAATTATTATTTTACGCTTTTAAATTAATACGTACTTTGAAAATTACAAGGTATTAAAAGCTCAAATAAAGAGCAAAGTTACAATCAATATGACTATGTCGAACGGAATGGACTATATATGGTATTATATGTTTTGAAATAATCAATATGATTGATCTGTACTATTCCTGATTATAAATAAGGATTGTACTTTGAATATTTGATTATCAGATATAGAGAAATTAGTGTGATTTATATGTTATGAAGAATTTCAAATTAAAGAGTTGACTTAGCTTTGTTTGTATTACTGAATAGCTTTTTGGAACAAAATGGATTCTTTGAGATTTATTAGTCAAACAGGTAAAATAAATCTGGTTAAGCTTATATTTTTTCAATTTAGTATATTTGTGATGTCATTTTTAATTGCTGATTTACTAAGTGATATTTGATACTGAAATTGTATCGAGAAAGAATGAACACCACTAAGCAAGATTTGCTTAGCGCGTTGGATTTTTGTCCTTCGCGTAGGTACATAGTCGGTACGAGGCAAAATTCAAGGAGGAAATCATTTGGAAGCAACCTGCCAATCAGCACAGAGTCACACTTGCATTTAGTAATATCTCATTTTAGTTTGCATAATTAATATGTAATCAACATGCTAGTATAATGTAACAGCAATACTAACCTTTTAGTGTCATGTATAAAATTTGAATGCTTCCGCAATTATGATTTTTCATAAAGTTATTATCACTCGCTCGTTTTTAAAATAAAAGTATTTTTGGAATAATGAAAACGAATGAAAAAATCAGTCAACGCTTTGGTGCTCCGGCACTGCGGGTAGCGCTCCCTGCCCTAGCCTTCCGGGCTGGGTAAGGAGTGTTACAATACATGCGAGCCCCATCTTGGATATACATCTCAAACCGGAGGAGTGGATCTCCGACATCACCACCTTCATCACCACGGGGCAACTTCCCGAGGATGAAGCCCGTGCCAAACTAGCAAAACTGAGGGCTCCCAGCTACACCCTCGAGAATGGAAGGCTTTACAAAAGATCTTACAACGGTACCCTCCTTCGGTGCCTTCATCAAGATGAAGCCGAAGTTGCAATGGAGGAAGTGCACAGTGGCACTTCCTCAGCTCATCAGGGACCCTTCTCCATGTCACGAAGGCTCATAGTCCAAGGTTACTTCTGGCCCACCATGGCCCGTGATTGCGCAAATCTTGCCCGAAGGTGTACCGCGTGTCAGCACTTTCAGAAGGCCCCCGGTAGACCAACAGTCATCTATGCCCCCATCAGCACTGCTATACCCTTCTCCAGATGGGGGATTGACCTAGTAGGTCCTCTGCCGAGGGGTACCTCTAATAACATGTACATCATTGTTGCCATTGACTACTTCACCAAGTGGGTAGAGGCCGAACCCCTTGTTAGCATCACCGAGGCAAGGTGTCGCCACTTTGCCTTCAAGAACATTCTCACAAGGTTTGGCGTCCCCCAACAAATCATCTCTGACAACGGGACTCAATTTGAGGCAGGCCCCTTCTGTGCCCTTCTAGAGGCATGGGGCATTAAACACACATTCTCTTCGGTTGCCTACCCTCAAGGCAACGGACAGGTGGAGAACGCCAACCAAACTTTGCTTGAAGGCCTAAAAAAGAAGCTTGAAGTCGAAGGGGGAGGCTGGGTAGAAGAACTCCACAACATTCTCTAGGCCTATCGAACTACCCCTAGGCGAGCAACAGGTGAAACACCCTTCTCCCTCCGTTACGGATTCGAGGCGAAGCCCCCTACGAAGGTAACTCTACCTACCCGAAGGGTAGATCAATATGACCCTGAGGCCAACGACGCCAACATGGACCTTGACCTTCACCTCATATCAGAATGCCGAGAGCAAGCCTTCATCAAGTATGTAAAATATAGGCACCAAGTCAAAGGCTACATCGACACGAAGGTGCGTTCCCGAGAATTCCATGTGGGGGACTACATCCTCTGAAGAAGGGAGACTAGTCAACCAACCGAAGGCGGCAAGATGGCCCCAAAATTTGAAGGGCCCTACATCGTCACAGCCATCATCAAACCCGGAACGTACAAGCTCAAGCGCCCTAATGGGGCCGAGGTCCCTAGACATCGGAATGTGCACCACCTTGTCAAATTCTATCAGTAACGTATGAGCAGCCAAGCCCTCATAACTTACTAATGTATTATCCAACGGCCCAAGGCCTCCTATTTTTTCAAGAATAAATACATGTTGAAGACACCAAAAGTACCAAGTACACAACACACATGAGCGGCCAAGCCCTCGTGCAAGCACCTGGCCCAAGGCCTTATCACAAGCAAGACCCTTCGGCACCAAGTGTCGAGGGTAGACACTCCAACCACCTACGACAATGAAGAAAACTCCAAGTGTTTTTAAGGAAGACCCCTCGGTACCAAGCGTCGGGGGTACCGTATGCAAAAATAACACCAAGTGTTAACAATAAAGTCGTACCCCTCGAGGACGCATTTATGCCGAAGGCCCCACCTATCGGCGCCGGAGGTACCAAGTACCCCAGCCTTTTTGCAACTAA